GGGTTTTACCATATTGTCCAAGCTGGTCTGGAACTCCTGACCTCAGGTGATCCACCCTCCTCAGCCTCCCAAAGTGCTGGGATTACCGGCGTGAGCCACCACGCTCCGCCAAATTAGTAATTTTAAACTCTTCCAACAAAGACAAGCCCAGGCCCATGTGGCTTCTTCACTGATGAGTTCTATCAAAGAAGAAATAATGCCAATCCTTTAATAACTCTTTCAGAAAACAGAGGAGGAGGAAACACATCAATTCATTCCATGAGGCCACCCTAATGCCAAAAGCAGACAAAGACACAAGAAAACTACAGAACAATATTCCCCAGCAAATCAAATCTAACTCCATATAAAAAGGATTATACACTACAACCATGTGGGATTTATTCTAGGAATGCAAAGTTGATTTAATATCTGAAAACCAATTAATGCAATATCATTGTAGAATAAAGAACAAAAACCATAAAATCAAAATCCAACACCCATCCATAATGAAACATCTCAATAAACTAGGAATAAAAGGGAACTTCCTTAGCCCGAACACACAATGGTGAAAGATGGAATACTTTCCTCCTAAAATTGTGAACAAGGTAAGGAAGGCTGTCTGCTCTTAACAATTCTATTCAACATTGTACTAGAGATCCCAGCTGGTGCAATTAAGCGAGGAATTTTTTTTTTTTAATGGGTGTCAGATTATGTCATTCCTCTATTCAAAACTCTCCAATGTCTTCCTGTTTCACTCAGAATAAAGGTCTACATGATCTGGTCCCTGTCTATCCTTGTGACTTCTCTATATTCCAATCTCCCCCTTGCTTACTTCATCTGTAGCCACACTGGCCTCCTTTTGTTCCTCAAACACAATAAAAACACTCTTATTTCAGGACCTCTGAACTTGCTGAACAACTCCATGCCTAGAATGCTATTCCCCAAAAGACATACATAGCTCACTACTTCAGTTCTTGCGTATTTCTGCACACATTTAATTTTCTGAGAGGCCTTGTTTAATAATCCAGTGTCTCCCTACTCCCTTATCCTGCTTTATTTTTCTTCAGATTTCTTTAACTGCTTTCCTCTACTAGAATGTAAACTACAGAAAGAAAACTATTTTATTCACTGCTATACCTCAAACACCTGAAACTGTGCCTAGTATATGATAGATACTCCAATACTCACTGAATACATAAATGTATATCTTCAAAAAGAAAAATGTATTTAGGAGAATGAATAAAAATGAGGAGTGGGGGACTACTAGCTCAAGAAGCTGAGAAGGACCAGAGTTTTAGGTGCTTGGGAAAGAGCCAATGTAGGAATTGTAATAGAAAATCTTGGTTTTCTGGAGCCAGATTCTTTTGGATTCTAAGCTTAGCTCTTCTGATCACTGCCTACACGTCCATCTCTAAGTCTCAAGTAATTTATAAAATAAGAACATCACCACCTACCTCCCAAGTTGCTATGAAAATGAAATATATTTATGTAGAGCACTCAGCATAGTGCCTAATAATATATAATAGACACTACAATTAATTTAACATTTTCTGATAACTCTGGCCTTCAAGAGAACTCAGAACCACCACAGAAATTACCTAGCCACACCCTCGCCTTACTGAGGAACATAGATGTTTTTAAAGGTGTTGTTCCTAAATTAAGTGCCCTCCAGACTGTTGTTTTAACATTTCTTTTCATTCTTCCTTCACCCCTCCCCTTACAGTCAGCTTTAAGCTCTCACCCCTAGCTGCTATTAATAAAGCAGCTCTTCCCCCCTTTTTGATATGCCGATTTTAATCTTGAGGGGGGGTGGGGGGTTAGAAACCAAATGCTAAACTTGTTACAACATGTAAAAATAATAATACATTAGCACTGTGCAAATACTTAAGGATGACAATGCTTTACCTCCCCCTTGTTTTTCAGTTGGACTCTGGAAAAATGAGGCTGTTAGGTAAATAAGCTATTATATGTGTAGCTTATCATATATAAATGTATATACAATACACTTATTTACATGGAATCATTCATATTTGTTGTGTGTGTGTGTGTGTGTGTGTGTGTGTGTGTGTGTTTTTCTTTTTTGATACAGAGTCTCACTCTGTCGCCCAGGCTGGAGTGCAATGGCACAATCTCGACTCACTGCAATCTCTGCCTCCCAAGCGATTCTCCTGCCTCATCCTCCGAGTAGCTGGGACTACAGGCGCATGCCACCACGCCCGGCTAATTTTTTTGTATTTTTAGTAGAGACAGGGTTTCACCACGTTAGCCAGTATGGTCTTGATCTCCTGACCTCATGATCCGCCTGCCTCAGCCTCCCAAAGTGCTGGGATTACAGGCATGAGCCACCACGCCCAGCCATATTTTAAGTTTACTGGAGCTTTTTCACGGGGCAGTTGTTACCGGAAGTGTAAGATCCAAGCTTGGCCCCCAGGCCAAGGAAAGGCCAGAAGCTGTAGAACTTTAGATTAACAAGGCAAAAAGAAGTGGCAGCAAGAGCCTGGAGATTCAGACTAGAAGGGGAGGTAGGAGCCAAAACCCTCTTTGCACTCAGGCAGAGAGAAGAACAGAATGTCCATTGTTAAAACACAGTACAAAGAGAATGGTATACATCGTTGGCGAAGGGGGAGAGCAAAATGGTAAAAAAAAAAAAAAAAACTGGAATGACCATGGCCTCCATAAAATGTAAGGCTACAGCACAAGAGCCTTTTTCACTAGCAGTAAGCAGAGGCAGGCAGGGGACCTAGGGCCAAAAGAATAGCCTTCAAGAGATGACAGCAGAGAACAAGGCAATATCACGGTGGATGCCAACTCCTGTTGGGATGGGCTCTTGGAAACTACTGTAGTATCCTATGCCAGTAGTGCCTTGCAGCCAGGGTTCATGAGTGCAGTTAAACTTGCCCTCTGCAGCCCACACATTGCAAATCATGGCTGGCTGTGCTACCTGGCTTTGTCATCTGTGCCCTGGAATCCTTTTCCTTATGGAAAGACTGAGCTATGGGTAAGGTCCACAAAAGAAAGGCGGTGAGGAGGAGAAGGACATAGAAGATTTACAATGAAAATTTGCAAATGAAAACCCTCCCTTTTACTTTTGGGAAGCAGGGTGGCAAACAGGTTGGGGACTGAGATTCCACAGATACTATTATAGTTTGAATGCTGGACTCCTCCAAACTGCTTGCTGAAATTAGGTCCCCAATGTTCAAGGCGGGACCTAACGGGAAGTGTTTGGATCTCTGGGGACAGATCCCTCATGAATAGATTAATGCTGTCCCTGGAGCAGGGGTAGGGGAAGTGAGTGAATTCTTACTCATTTTGTTCCTGCAAGAGATGGTTGTTAAGAGCTTGGTACCTCCCCTCTCTTATCATCTGATTTCTACTCCCCTCAGTTCCCTTTCCACCAGAATAGAAGCAGCCTAAGGCCCTCACTGGATGCAGACACCCAATCTTGAACTTTTCCAGACATCAAATTGTGAGACAAACCTCTTTTCTTTATAAATTACCCAACCTCAGGTACTCCTTTATAACATGAGACAAGCTAAGATAGACCTTAAAATGCTTTCTCCTCACTTTCTTGTTTCATTCATGCTGCTTTTACAATTCACAAAGCTTTCCAACTTGCAATTCTCTTCTGATTCTCTATAACATACCCGCATGGTTGGCATACACATAAGAGACATGAAGAGGCAAGGAGGCACTCCAACTTTACAAATAGGGAAATGAAGACTGTTCAGGGCACACGTTGAGAGAGAAGATAAAAACCCATGTTTCTTAACTTCAAGCCAGCACTCAAGTCCTTATCCTGTGACGGCCCAAGTGTTTAAGAGATCCCATGTGTTACAGATGTATTCTTCTTCTGGTCACTTTTAGCCTGGGCCTAGACCTGCTTGAAGGTTCTTCCTATCTTTCAGTCTAGTAGGCCCCTCATTAGAAATACCTTTGCTCAGAGGGACCCCCAACTCCTACCTGCCCTGCTCGGCCCCTCAACTGAATCTCCTTTCTGAATCCCTAAGTCTGCCTTCTTGAACTTCATAAGAAAAATCAGAATAAGAAAAAAAAGAAAAATCAGAATTAGAGAGATTAGCTGCCCAAGGAAAGTCTGCCAAGTCAGGAAGAACAATGGTATTTATGGTCAGACTGACCTGTGTTCTAATATCAGCTTTATGGATTCCCAGGTGTGAATCCTGGGCAAATTATTTCAGTTCCTAAGCCTCAATTTCCTCATCTATAAAATGAGGTTTTAGAGCAGGTTATGGTGGTACACCTATAATCCCAGCTACTTGGGAGGCTGAGGCAGGAGGATCACTTGAATAACATGAGCCTAGGAGTTTGAGGCCAGCCCAGGTAACATAGTGAGACCCTGTCTCCCAAAAACAAAAACAAAACCCCACACACACAAAAAGGGATTTTGTCTACATTGAGATCAATAACATACTAAGTGCTACTGTGTTGATTTTCCTTCCTTCTCACCATCTGTAAGCTTCCCCTGACATCTCCTTCATACAGCCCTACTCTTATTGCTCCACTCTCACCATTATTTATATAACATTTTGCAGAATTGAGGAAACTACAGGATTTCCTGGAGCTGACCTATGAACTTGGCAGATCACAGTAAAAACTAAAGCTAAGAAAGTCTCTAAAGGCTGTGAGGTCATGTTAAAGAGCTTGTGGGAGAACAGGTATAGCTGCCAGGTCCCAGGATACCCCCTTCAGCAGAAAGAAGCTAGCAGAAGCAAGAAGGAAGAAAGCCTGCTCTGCCTTATTCACGGAAAATGATCCCAGACATTCTTGTGGCAGCTCTAGGACAGCAGTCTCAACCTGCCTCCCAGTTCAGAAGGTTATCTTTGCAACATCCATTATTGGAGTAGGAGAGTAAACACCTATAAATTATCTGTACTGAAGGTAAAAACAATAGCCAAACTAGTTACCCTGTATCTTGGCCCAAGCTTGCCCAGAGCTTTCCCAGGCACCCTAACTCACCAGTAACAATGCTGAGCTTAGCCAGTTGTTTCCTCCTTTGAGTTACAGGGTCAACACCAGCTGCGTCTGGGAATAGGGCTGACCTATAACAGAGAGAGAAGTTCATTAAGGATGCTGCCCAGAACAGGCAGGAGGCATTCAAAGTTCCTGCTCTCACACATTTGGCATCCTAGCAAAGACAGGTCAATTATTTACACTATGTAATTTCAAGTAGTGCTAAGTGTCATAAAGAAAAATAAAGCAGGCCGGGTGCAGTGACTTATGCCTGTAATCCCAGCACTTTGGAGGTCGAGGCGGGCAGATCACCTGAGGTCAGGAGTTGAAGACCAGCCTGGCCAACGTGGTGAAATACCATCTCTACTAAAACACACACAAAAAATTAGCTGGGTGTGGTAGCAGGCGCCTGTAATTCCAGCTACTCAGGAGGCTGAGGCAGGAGAATTGCTTGAAC